CGTGTCGCAAAAAAGGTGTTCTATGCTCAATCGTGTCGTAGCCATCAAACGCATATTCATAAACTTTATACAAAATTATTATTATTTAAATAACATTTATCTATTTACACACATAATGCAGTGATTAAAAATCTGATTTTTGTAATTTTTAAATACTTACACTTAAACACGTATTTACATATTCTTAAAACTTTTTGTACTAGAAATTTGTACTCCTCTAAATATTCAGAGGATCATTATTCTAAACATTTAGACGTATCATAATTGAAATTCGAAAAAGTAGTTTTTGAGTTGGAATTACGTTTGGTCAGATAATATAGGGGCTATAGTATTTTGAAAATTTTAATAATTTATATTAATCGATCAATAAACTTTAAAAATAGCCCAAGTACAACAAGTAGGTATATACAAGATCCGATATAACATCTATTTCTTTTTTTAAAACTATTTTTATGAACTATATTATTATCCTTGATATAAATATTTTAATAACTGTGAAGCTACTAGTTTAAATTTTAAATTAAATGTGTAAATAAAAAATTTAAAAAAAAAAAATGATTTGCTTAATAGTTTACAGTTGACGGTAAAGAAAGAGGGTTATCATTTTAAAAACAGAAGTTTGTATCGCCACAGGACACTCCTTAAGTAGAACAAAAAATCCTAAGTATTTTATAATAAAAAGTCTTTGAGTACTACATAAAATATTTAAAAAATTCCAAAAATCATAACTTTAATGAATTCAATATTAAATACGAAATAAGAGCGAGCATGCTTGATGAATTTATTTAAGTGAACCACCTTGTACAGTATAAATTATAATATGTGATTCTTAAAGATGTGAGTGCGGTAAATTTAAAAAGTAAAATTTAAGGGTGACCCCATCCTTAGTTAATATTGATTGATTAAGATTAATGAAATCCGCTATCAATTGTTTACCTCTATATTATTATCAGCTACCTTCAGACTCAACCGACCAAAATTAGGTTGTATTTAACTGTTACTATAATATTACTATCGTATACATATTTATTAAATATCTTTTGTGATGACATTTTGAATATTTCGAAAACAGTTTTTACTTTTTCTTTTATACGAAGTAAATAGTACATAAATGAGTCTTAAATAAGGTGTCATTCACTCCAAGTTGCCAATTTTACCATTTTCACAATTTGTTGGCAGTTTCTTTTTAACTAAATTCTCTATCTCTAATAATTTCAAAATATATTATATTAACAGCCACACGAATTTTATACGGTTTACAGATATAATTAGGTTTGCATAATTACCGCGATACTTTTAAGACTTTGTTTTCCAAATCCTAACTTTAATAAATAGGTATTGAAAACAACGCTAATAGCAATATGACTACATCTTTCATTGTTAAATTATGTTTTTACCTTTGGGCTAAACAAAGTTGTACATTTTGTTTGTTGTTACAGCAGTAAACGATTTTTTATGTTTTAATAATCGACCATACTTATTTTATACAAACAAAAATGTTTCTGAGATAACCTCGAAAAACGGTTGATTGCTACTCCGACTAAACTCTGATGTATCTCAAAAAAAATTTTAAAATTGTACAACTAGTCAAAAATACATTACTCTGCAGTATTATACATTAAAATGGCACAAAGTATTTGCTATTGCAACATTGTTGTTGGTGCCTTTCTACCTTTCTTACGGTATGCGTGAATATAGTAATACTAAGAAAGGCGCCTACCTAAATATTCGATATTTCATTTTCACGTCTATGTCAAAATGATTTTTCCAATTTGTAATCAAATTAAACTGTGCATATGGTTATTATAATGATATGAGACATGGTACTTAGATTTTTTTAATAATTCACTATTTTTATTAAATAACAATACAATATATAGTATTCTAGTTATGCAAACGTGATCGATTCACTAACATAAAAAACATACAAATATTATTAATAACATAATATTATATGACCTATACAAATGGTGTGGTTTTTTTCTTTTGTGTTTTTAATTTATTGTTCACATATTTTTGTAATGAATCGTGGAAATGAATCCTCGTCGGTAAAACCAGTACTCTGTCACTCCGGTTTTGTAAACGACAACTGATGCCATCTGCAATAGATTGGTCGAAATCGATTAGTTTACATAAATTCTGTGTGGGTAAAACGTATATGGAATATTTCAAATTACGATTCCTTGACATTCGTCTATACGGCCATAGATATGTTTCATACTGAAACCAGTGTCCTTCATAGACCGCGCGAACCTGTAAGTGATCCTGTCCGACGATATTGTCCGCGAACTACCACTACCGTCCGCAATATCGGTCGCGTTAGAGGTCACCGACGAAAGTGCCTAAATTGAAAAACACATCTATGACATTGCAGCCGTAGTTCATCGATCGTTAATTGTATAGTGTTTTATGTTATAGGTCAGTGCACGTTTTAGTACATTAAGATATTTACTATGCGATATATTAAAATATACATTATCAGCATTTTTCGCATTTTATCCTCTAGTCAATATACATTCAAGGGACAAACCACAATGGTAATTTAACAGCATTTAACAGCCGTGACCTAGAGTAGAGTAATCGTTGAATAGGTCTTGTGCAAGGGCGTAGATAAAGGTGAAGGAATACCCCCACCCCCTCCTCATTCATAGCTGACAAATATATTAATGTGTAACGAAATTTTTATTAATAAATTAACTTAATTGTCATTACCTCTTCACGATGTGATCCAATTACTTCTATACATTTTAGAGGACATCGTAGTTTTGATTGAGTGTCGACATAATCGTTGTACCAATATTTTGTCATCATACTACCACACGGACTTATGCGCATGCAATTTTTCCTCTATTCGGTATGTTTAAAAAATAGTGCGATTTAAATAATTATAAATATTATTTGTTAATTGTGAACGGATATTTATTAAATGTAATTTACAATAGAAAGGACCCCCCCCCCCTGTCATCATTCTCCTATACCTAAAACATCAGCTTTTCTTTCTTTAATAAATTATTTAGCCAAAAGCTAAGGTTTGTCAAAATGGATGTGGCATAAATTACGAGTTGAAAAACACAAAAAATAAAAATCGAATATAACAAAAAAAAACATATTATAATATTTTAGCGCGTAGGCTGCTCGAACAGAAAATTCACCGCTGAAACGATAATATGGAGAAATGTACGTTAATATATTATCATATACGTCAACGACGTTTTATTTTGTTTACGTAGGCCGACACGATTTATCTTTAAGCCATTCGAGATCGACTTTGTTCCGTTGACGTTAATTATTATGGAAATATATCATCGCGATTGAAATAGGCTGGGTTTTGTCGGATGTGAACGGATATGAATTATTATATTATAAAGAACGAGTTTTTTTTGTTCTATTCCAAAACTGCGCTCTCGTATAGTTTGCTATAATGATAATAAAATAATACCAACTTATAGTGTTGGGTGAAATATTCAAATAATACAATAGATACTAGAAAACGCTAACGTCCTGATACGAATCGTAAGCTCTTCCTTAATAACGGTTACTGTGGTTCTCATCAAAACTCGTTTTGGATGTAAGTAGTTGGTATACCTTTGCAGATCTAGCGAACGGCATGAACTTCGGAAAATTCTCTGGACGCGAGACGATCGACCGCTGTCGATGTGCACCAGACAATTTCTCATTATGAGGGATCTTTGTCGCCATGTTTTTCCACTTTCTGAAAAACGTGTGCCATTTATTTTCTGCAGTAAATAATTTAGTAGTTAATTCGTTTTTTATTTATGAATTTTTTTAGCTCTCATTATAGTCGACATACAGATAACACAGAGTTATATTTATTGTTTTGTAAAAACATTATGGGGTTAATTCAAATTGGAATAATTATTTAAAGTTACATCACCAAAATTAGAACTCTCGTTGGACGGACTTATCAGAACATAATGCTGAGTTGTTATAGTTGCTATATGATTGTGTAGCTGCGTTGTACACGTACTTCAGAGGAGTATTATAAATTATAATGCAGTTTGTATTGTAACGTTGTGTAACAAGTCAGTGATAACACGATACATGCTAAACAATTGAAAGTTCTACTAATCTAGAACCACATGCTTTGAAAATCTATCTACGCAGAAGCGCTTCGGAATCCTTAAAAAAAAAGGTAATATATTTATTTGATTCCGTTCCGTTTGGTTGTAACGTTTACGTTCAGCGTTGAACTATAGTTCTAACAGACTCCTATTTAAGCATACATATTCTTTGTTTGTTTCTGTTCGGTCAGATCGAACACCAGTTGAAAAGTGTAAGCACTCTTTAAATATTTAAAAGTTAACATTATCATATCATAATATGTAATATTATGTAATAGATATTCATAATAATATATAATTTCATATTTGTATTTGTTGTGTATTAAATAATTAATGTTTCACTATTTTACTATTTTACTATACATAATCTTTTATTCTTAATGCCTCAAGGTGTAAATTTTGTAAATAAAATAATATTGGAGGATCCTTCTCATATTCGACTAGATTTAATAACTGAAATAGTTTAAGACTGTTTTTACCCTTTATTTAACTGTGATTTTTAATAATTTTACTAGTCTTGTCCAATATACAATTTCAATAGAAATTATACTATTGAATATAAATGAGTTTTATTTATTCGTCGTTTTTTTGTTAAAAACATTAAATTCGCATTTTACTTCTTTAATTACTACTTATATTTTTTACCTACACAGTGTTTGAAATAAAAATGAATACAGTGACTGCATTGCAATATAATACAATTTTATGAATCGAAAATAGCTCGTTCATTAATCATCCTCATCAGTAATTTAATTATTTAAACAATAAAAACATTCTATCCATACTATGATTCTATAATACGATAAAAACGATAAAAACGATCACTGAACTTATTATGGAAAAAAATAAATATAAATATCGTAAGTGCTGTCGTTGGTTTTACAATATTTTATTAATCCTACCATATTATGCTAAGTGTATTCGTATGAAACTATAAAAAACTATTGAACTTAGACGTTTACCTGCGTAGCTGTAAAAAATTTGGTCGATTTTTGATAGCTTTATGACTTCACCAAGCCGTCCGACGAACACCTAAGTACGTTCAAAAATGATTTGAGTACGTTAAAATTAAAAAAAAATTAACTTTTAATAAATAATGAGTATCATTCGAACCGTAGACAGATGAATGGTGATTTTCATAAGTCACAACCAGAATCCATAGATCACTGTGCATTTTTGCCAACGTAATAATTGTTTTAATTTACCAACGACACGATTTTATATAATCTCTTTTTTAACATAGATATGTTTTTGGGCTAGATACAATTTTATTTTTTTCACCGATTTTTGTAACACTTTGTTTATTATTTATTTCCATGGAAACGCAAATCAAGAAAAAAAAATTTAACTAAATATTAGTAGGTATTTTTTCACTGTACTTTACCAAAAAACATTATATCCACATGCATGATTCCTTAACGCCGTTCAGCGTTAATATACTAATAAATAAATATAATAATTTTCCTTAACGAAAAAAAATATCTAATAGCTACTAATAAATTATAATATTATATATTTTTAACATTTTTACATTAACGTTTACTTAAAGAGTTAACTTTTACTCGATTATGACGGGATATTCTTTGTCTTGTATTTATTCTTGAGTTGCTGCTGGCTAAAAGTTGATGAAATACCTAATAATATGTGAATTTCCGTTCCGTGTTGCTTTGGTCGGATCTCAAATATTCTCATTCGTTTCTCGTGCTACACGACACAGCGATAAATCGCAAAGTGTAAGACCACGTGGATCACAACGACGAACACGATCGCTTCCGGGTATGGGATCGCGGGCACGGCGCCCCGTCGTAATAAATCGTCCAACCGACGGAGCCTCCCTGGATTGTATGTGTTGTTAAACAATATTATTTTGGAGCCGTAGCCACAATAATAATAATAATATATTTCCCGGACAAGCTCGCTAATAAACGGAATTTGCACCGACCGCTAACCGATGTCGACGACGACAGACAAATATTCTATATTATGTTATGGTCGTCGCCGGTGAGATAAATCACCATTATAGGTTCGTATTGAATTATGTGTGACGGGTATATTATGTGTGTTGTAAATTATCTGAAACAATAAAGAAGATTATAAAATGACCAGAATAAGCCTATCGCCTCCTCCACCCCTTCTCACCGGGCATCCGGATCGAAATATAATATTATATTTTGGCGTATTTATATACATGCACAGTATAGCTGTATATGTCCGCTGACCGAGAAAATTGCGACCTGGAGCTCGTATCACGTGGAAAACCGAGAGGCTGACGCACTGCTGTAATATATCGTTTTTACGCTTTATATATTATGTAATATTGTCGTTGCTCACAATTGTATTATTATTATTATTATTATTATTATTATTATTATCGGCCAGACTCGGCGTTAAGTCGCGCCGTGACGAGACTTTACAATACTCTGCCGGTCGCGGGACGCGGGGCACGTAAGAAAGTAAGTCACTGTTGTTATTTTTTGAAATTAGTTGTAACCTTTCGCGAACGGATATTAGAAAACGGTGCAAAATATACTACGACTAACGGACGCGAGGAAGTGTGACGAGGAAATCGAACTTCGAGCGTCTAGTTTCACGATGTAATAATAAAATATAAAAGACAAGTGCGACCAAAATTAATGAAGAAAACCAACAACACAACAATAGAATTAAAAAATTTTTCAACTTTTAAATATGAATTATGACGTGCATCGAGTCATTTCGTCGTTAGAAAATAAGTATGCAGAGGAGTGGGGGGATACTTATTTTTAATTTTTCTCTTTATATGAATATTATGTGTTGTATATTTTATCTTCCGCATGATATAATTACAGTGGTGACCAAAAAATAAATAAATAAATAACTATTTATCGTAATTAAATACTTAAGACTCTCTATATTATATAAAATAATTTTAAATTACAGATATTAAAATTAAGAATGCAAAAAGGTGGTTCTTGGGTAGTGAAATCGTTTGGTTCTACCTCCCCTCCCAGGGAAATGGTGAGCAGAGCGACAGGATGCAGATAAAAAAAAAAAATAAAAAATAAAAACATTTTTTATAAATAAAACATTTTATGTTAATAGAATATTTGGTTGGAAATCTTGTTTTATCTATAAATCGTGTTCAACACTAATTTCCTGGGCGAGCAGAGACAACTTAGGGGTTTGACGCCGGCTCTAAAGCTATGTATTATACCTCCAGTATGTGTGCAGTTTACAATAGGTACATTTTATTCCATTTTTCATAAACTCTTCCTGCTCTCCCCAATCCCCATCATCAAAATAGTTTATCATTAAGCGATAACCCGACAATCTGTTCCCGAAAACTAACCTGCTATCTGTGACTAGTGGCAAAATCGAAATAACAAATAATAATAAACTATACCCGTTTCGAATTATTATAAATTTTAACTAAAATATTTTAACTGTAGTTTGTATCAAACTTTAAATTATCTAAAAAAATAAATATAATATAATAGTTTATAATTATGTTATAATAGTTCGGTTGAATACAATTAATATAATTTATATTTTATCAGTGCCGATATCTACATATTTAATATGTCCGAGGATATTGTTGTGGAGTTGTATTCTATTTTAACTGACAGTTTGCGTGTTTTAAAAATATTTTTAAGTCTTTTGAATATAATCATTATTGGTTGGTCGATTTTCAACAACAAAAAAAAACCAACCAACCATCTGCTATGTATGGACAATGCCCATTTCAAATGATCTCGTGCGTGTAGAAAGTTTAGAAGTTAATTAAATAAATTAACTTTTTTTAATGGATTCCGTGATTTTAGCGATTTCCGACGAGAAACAAAGCACAAAACAGCGCCACACACGTCCATCATCGCACTACCACAATCTCATTTTTAAACAAAGTTCACGTAATAATATTTGATTACGGCACGTCATTATTATTAGAAAAAATGTTCGGCATTATAGTAATGTTCAAAATTCAAAAAACGAAATATCATCGTAATATAAATTCGAAAATATACAATCATTGTTTTTCTCGGCAAACGTGGAATTAATTCCAATTGTGCATTATACCGTGTTTAAATCAGATTCCTGAAACAAAATATTGTTCATTTTGTTGTTTTCCCCACAATATGATGATACAATATCGATAATATTAAAACCATCATCACTATTTTTTTATTAAACACATTTTAAAATTTAAAACATTTTGTACCTAAACAAATACGGGTTATTTATTCGAATATGCGTACTTGAATTGAAATTTTACTCTTGAGATATTATAATATTGCAGTTAAATAAACCATGATACTTTGTTTATGAAAAGTAACAAAACAATAATAGTTGTACATAAATAATTATGAGTTTGACTTTTGGCCATATATATTGCACTACAATAAATTCAGAACGAAATTAGCCTCGTTACAACGGTGTAATAATTGCGCCTCTATATGAAACGAACAGTTTATTTTCACAAAATAAACAATCGATTTAAAATATTTGTAGAAGCATCTTTTTTATTCGGTTTGTTCCTTTCAGATTGTTCTCAATTTTGTTTGGTTTATGTTCTCAAGTGGAAAGTTGAAAGAGATTTTAAATGAGGTACACTGAAACTTTACAGCGGTTCAAGGTTTCAATGAATAGTTTCCGCAGAATTTACTTTTATAAATGAGCCAAGTTTGAAATTAAATTAAATTAATAAATGCAGTCGAAATTGGTACGCAATTCATTTTTTCGAATGCAAAACAAATTTACCAGGGAAATAAAGCAGCATGACTCCTCAGCCTTACGGAAACGTCCATAATTGCAATGCAATAGTACCTAATAACGATTAAAGGTTATTCTTTTCTACTACCTATGTGCATTTTGTAGTACAACTCTTAGATTCTTCGTATAACATAGATACCTATACTGCAGTAAAACTAAAATAGTTTTTCGCTGTTAACTGGTATGAATACTCTAAATACCATGAAATAATACAAAAAATAGACCTATACGCGTGGTCCATATCCGATCCAGTTCAAGCGATAACAATACGTAAAACTATTCCTGCTCCCGAGACAACACTATACTGGGGTAAAATGTAAACGTCTTGGCACCTCATCCAAACTGACCCGCCTTCGATCGAAACGCCCACCATCCTGCACCGAGCCCACGAAACAAAATTGATCGAATCGACGTATACAATGCCGTTTAAAATATCTAATCGCTATGAGTTTCTTACTAAGCCGCTCAGTTACGATTACAAAACTTAGAGAAAAAATAACAATAATTGTAAATAATATCATACATCGTGAAATTAATACTAGGTTGAACATTTTTTTTTACGCTTGATATAATATATAAAGATATGGTTTATTCATTGAATTCATTGGTTAAACAGTATATAATAGGTATCACATCATAGAAAAGTTATGAACTTTATATATCCACTAATTATTATGAATAGGCAATTATTATATGACATGGGGTCAATTATTAAAGCTGAGCTGTATTAAAAAAAAAAGTGCGTGTACCTATAGAAACTCTGTGATATGGTTGTTACAGCTGATTAGTTTCTAGATTAAAATATTTTTTATGTATACTAATTAATTAATATTAACCACTTTACAAAATTCTACTACTATTTTATTATTCAAATAAATATGATATTTCTGTTGTTATTATTATTGTATATTTGCCATATTGACAAAGGTATTTTATTAATATGAACTGACTTATTTATTATTTTACATTAAAATTGCTGTGATATTCTATGCCTGAAATGTCAACAAAAAAATCCACCAAATTCTATAATTTAATTATTTATTTGAAATACCGTGTAAACATGTAAAATACATTCACTTGATTACCTTAAACTACAATCGTTTTACTTAATATTTAATATTCACAGTGTCACCTTCTCCAATATTTATATTGTTTATTCTAATGTAACAAAGGCCCATTCATTCAGTAGAAAAGTAAGTTAAATTATTTTATTGAGTAAAATTATACACGGAATGCACTTCGGTCAGACCCCTCTAAAAGATGACATACAATTTGGACATTCCAATTTATGTTCATTTTTTTGGAATGTGATTCGAATGCATCGTAAAGCTATTATCTTTTGAGTCGTCGGTAAAAGGTAATAATATTATATATTATTAAAGGCTCGGTCTTGTGATTCCAGGACCTGTATGAAAAACATTGTCAATTTGTAAACATCGAATATACTAGAGTACACATACGTCAATTAGATCGATTTACTGGCATTAAACGGGTCACTGAATATTTGTACCGGCTGTAATTACTAAAAAGCAGACACCGTGGTGACTTTAAAGTCACGTGGTTTCGAACACAAACAATACGTGGGATTTTAAATTAAAATACGTTTTTACTCATAAATATCACCGGCAAGTACAACCACTATCGGTTTACTGGTAATTGTATGGCTACCGTTGATTGTTAATAATTATTCAACCAAATTATTTGCACCTTAATATACCGAAAACGCAAAACAATAATATTACCAGATATTTTTTTTCACCATCAGCTCCAACGATGTCGTTTGAACGTTGAGGTAATTTTAGATTCTGAGTGGAGCGATCAATGTATAGACTTTACAATAATATGTGTGTTTTTTTCTGTCTGTCATGACCTCTGGAGTAGTAGAAAAGCTGGATTTTCAACATTGAGGGTATTTAATCTAGTTGGTACTTTACAGGCGGGTCAAAAGTAAAATTCCAAATACTTTTCAAAATAACCAGTTTTCGACAAAATGTATTTTAACTTTTTTGTTGTAACTCATAAATTAATAACTTTAGGGACATAATGTTTTTACAGAATATTCATATGTATAAGCATTTACTAGACATGGAATGATTTTCAAAATACTTAAGATCTCTTCGTGTTATTTATAGTATTATGAATTATCGTTTTTTAAATTGATATTCATAGTATAACGTTTTAGTTTTTTATATCACTAGGTTCCTCATAATTTATTCATATTATACTAATTAAAATCCAAAAACCAATACTTTTTATAACCGTTTAGTCTAAATGTTTACAATATTATGTATTCGTAGCAATCGATTTTAGTTTTTTATTGTATTTCAAATGTATTAACAGTAGAAACTTGAAACATTCCACTGTTACTTAAATTATAATTTTCTATACCTACTCTAGAAAAGATTTACATTTTAAGTACTTGTAAGCTTTAAACAATTATGATTTTTTTTAGTTTTTCATTTTCAATTGTTATTAAAACTAATTATCCACAGTCAAAAAGCAAGACATTTTAATACGAAATTCTACATAAGTTTACTTTATTGTAATCCATAAATATTGATAAATATTAAATACACGTGCAAATTTTTATTTTTATAAGCTTTGAAGTTAAAATGTTAACAAAATTCGTCAAAATCGCGAATATTTTCAAACTATTTTGTAGTTAAAAATATATTAATATTCAATTTGTATAGATAAAGTTTTAAAAAGTAATAAAAGGTTCTTTATAAGTTGTTCTTATTCCATTAAAAATATTTAAAATACAAATACACAGTTTCATTTATTATAACAAGCATTTGAATCCAAATATTTATGAAATTGTTTAGGAATTTAAACAAAGAACAATGGTTTTTAGTTTTTTTGTATGTAGTTTGAAATATTAATCGTTAGGGGTTGAGACTTTTTGCCATTAGGTATATTAATATTTCAATATTTTCTAAACACAAAGAAATCTTCAAAGTATTATTTTGAATTCCCATTTCCAACTATTTAAACTAAGATCTTATTCACATATACTCATGTTTGTACTTCGTACTTTTGTTTGTCTATTTATTAAGGACATATTAAGTGATCATAGTTAATAATAATAATGTAATTTAAAATAATCGATTTTTTTAGCTGACGGACAGTCTTTACCCAGAACAGTTTTTTGTATATAATTGTATAATATCATTGAATTCAAATTTAACACATCTATTACTACAGTAATCCACTTGACACCTACTGTACCTATAGTAGAGTATGTTCAGTAGGTACCCACTTGTCATAAAATTTAAAAACAATATATTTTACAAAACTGTTTTGTAAATTTTATCATGCGTCTACAACGTGTATACATAAAATACACTAAAACGTGAAAATTTAAAGTCCCTAGGATTATTTAAAAGTTTTAAAATAATGTTAAAAGTTTGCTGTGTTGTGGAAATCCAACCCGGGCTTGGGTTTTCCTTATACGGTCGCGGTTTTTGGGTATAGTCCTTCGCGATTATCCAGAAAACTACTGGTGAATTCCAAAAATCACCTGTTTAAAGTACCATCTGCGTCGAATTACCGGTGCGGTATGGAGTGGGCTATACAAAACTTTCGGATGACACTTTCCACACGAAAAAGTGTTTACGGACGTAATAATAATAATAATAATAATAAAAAACACATCAACGTCCAATCGAACGGCGTACCGAGTCCAATACACAGAGATCATATACATCGTGTAGTATACATTCCAGCATAATACCCACTATAGCTAAATTATGTAGATGAATGAAAAAGGGACGAGAATATATTATTATTATATTGCGTTTTAAACCAATAAACCTAAACGGATCGTAAACATCTCTGCAGGCAGGAAGATTTTCAACGTATTATAGTTATATATTTAAGTGCTCGGCCCAAAGTATATCAAAAAATGGATGTTGTCGACATCGAGAGATCGTGTGTGAGAGAGAGAGAACGAATGAGTGAGAGCAATAGGGTCTGTCAAAAATGTTTTTTAAAAAATACCCAGACATTTCTTATTATTTTTTTTTTTTGCACAAGTTACGATCTGCCATCGTTTTATACATATACTTTGTCGTAGGATATTAATGCGGATATTTTTCGCATTTTATCGTAACTCTAAAATGATAATAATGTATTTAGAAACTATTTGTACCTATATATATATAAGAGTCGCATATACGTTTTAAAACTTTAAAACGCTATTAAATTGTTGTAGTTGCTAATACAGCCAAAAAAAATCCTTCTACGGAAAAAGTTTGTTTTTTTTTTCGTTTTTTTTTTACGATACGATTTACAACTATTTTTCTTTACGCGGACGCGATCCCAGACTTTTTCGTTTAAATCCTTAAAACGGTACATAAAATTGGGATCGTCCATTGACCGCGGATAATCGTCGTACTGCGACTTTCCAATTTTTATTGCTAATATTTCTATAAAGGTTTATGGTCTTAAAAATATATATGAATAATATGCGGTAATTCTAGGGTACGGAGGAGTGAGAAGTGCGTGCATAATATATAGCGATGTGTTTCAAAACGCATAATAACTGCGTATATTATATTCGACCGACGAAATTGTCACAAACCTCGCTTCGGGCGAACAGTACTCGACACTCCGCTGACAAATCGGCGGCAAACCCGGGTATGAAGTCTGCTGCAGCAGTAACCATTTATCATATGAACGCAAAACGTGCAACGATCGAATTTGGTGTCAACGTAGTGGCTTAGCACAGCGCACGATTAATCATTAATTTACAACAAATTTTAAATCAAACTGTTTTTTATGACGCAGCAACAAAAAACAAAAACAGTTTCTGATCATACCGCATTCTCCGCAATCACCTGAAATTGCGAGCACTCGTTGTAAACTGCGGGGTATAACGATTAACGAATAATAGAATAAAGCCATCGAGTGTAGGTAGTCCGTTGTACAGTTGTTGTAGGTCAAGAGTGTACTGCTACATAGTCAGTGAGTATGTCACTATTACAGTGACCATTACGGGTGTGTTAAATTTGAATTCGATGATAAAAAATTATTATTGTGTACGATGAAAAACGGTTCTCAACGAAAACGGTCTAACTTTTTTCACCAACAGTTATTATAATAATAATACTAAAATGTAACAAATGTTCGTATTTGTTTTTAGTTTTTCCCCATTGTTTTTAAAAGGACTGGAAATGTTTTACTTCTAAATCTAACTTCCTACCTCTGAGTTGAAATCCGACTATTTTTTTTTACTATTGTAAAATCAATACATTCATCGCTCCGCTCAGAATCTTTGACCAGTGACGAACTCTCTATTGACTATTGTTCTAATCTGTATTCGAAAGAAAAAAAAATTCTTTACATAATTAATTATTATTGATAATTATACAAAACAAAAATGGTGGATTAAATGTTTTACTTATTCTTGCCGGCTTACAAAATTTTAAAATGTTTGATCTTTTTTGTTAAATAATATATTATCCAAGCATCAACGACTCTAAATAGCTTAAAAATTGTCTTTCTCTGGCATATCGAAATTGAGAAATGTTTTGCTCTATTGAAGTCGTCGACTGATGATATTTTAAAATGTAGGTGTTATCTGAGATTTGTGCCATGGCTACGAGATATTTTGGCGATACTTTATGGGGCCTATCCAGAAATTATATAATCAACATCGTGCAAGTTGCAGACAATTATCGAATGTTTACAATGTCACAGGAATTTGAAAAACTAGTTGAAGTGTCATGTTCATAGGGTTTATATTGTAAAAAAAAAAAATAAAACTAAAAATACATTTTGAAGTTTCTCCTTGATATATTCAATGTTGAATATTAACTTATTAATGGCACCTACGCGTATAGGTAACTCAGAAGTCAGAACCCAAGAAAGTGTCAGACTTTCGACATGAACTGTATTTGTACGTAGAATAGAATATATCATTGTTATTAGACACGTGGTTATAAAAAATTGAACAAGTTGTATTATTAAGTTTGCGTAGGTACTATGATATCAATATAATATGTACTTACATTTTGTTGATTAAAAAATATATTACAATTTCGTTTCAATCAAAATGTCTGTCCCTAGTTTGTGAAATATTAACCTACTATATTAGTCTTACGTAACATGTATATTGTATACCTATACCATAAACTTGGAAATATTAGGTACTTGAAGTGTTCAGGAGATTTAATGATTCATAAACTAAAATATTTTATTAGATTTGTATAAAAAAATAAAAATCTTAGGTTAGGTTAGCGTGGCTCCATATTTCTCCAGTTTCCTCCTTCAACTGTTTTCGGTCAAATTATTTTTCATTTATGCCCAGGTAAACTATACCCAGAAAACCTAAAAATGATCAGTTCGAAATACTAGTACTGTAGTACTAGATTTTTCCGATCCCAACTCCTGAAATTGTGTGAATGAGAACATCGACACATCGTTGCTAAACCAAAATGTAGTTTACTCTGCAGATTTAAAAATGAGTGGAACATTTATACTTAACAAAATATCATGTTTATATATATATTATAGAGTACAGACATTAGAAATTATTGCAGTGCTGTCGAGTGTATAATGTATATAATATATTTCGTTTTCTTCGTCTCGCGTCAGCAGAAGTAATCGTTTGCGGATCTTCGAAAACGGACGAAATTAATATTCTCGTGGACGGCTCATCTGAAAAATAAAGAGAAAAAAACTTAAAACCTAATCGCCAAACACTTATCGACACCGACCCGACCAACCACATCTGGTAGTTATAGTGATCAATAGACTTAGAGGGCGGGTTTGTAGATAAACGCATATCAAAACGATTTAGGTGCATATTTTTTTTTTTTTAGTAATAGGTTGTTAAACGATTTCCAAAAAGTTCCTACATTGTGCAGTTTATTTAAAATTAGGATACATATTCGGTACTTAATATGATCTATCTATATATTATTTAGGAATCTTACTTTAAAGAGTTACTCGAGTGCAGAGCCACGGGAAAAAGTCGCCAATAGAAAATTCGAATAGAAGTTAGATAACGTATGTTTGACGTTTGTCTGTTAGTCAAAACTTAGCATCAAAAATCTAAAACCCTATCCATACCGACCAACCACATATTATATATTATGGTGGGTAAAACGTAACAGAGTGATTCACCAAGCGTCCAAGAGTAGTTTTTATCACCTCGGCTAGGACGGTTCAAGAAATCCCAAGAATTTGAAAATAATATGGTCTGAATGTGTATATATTATGTTTAAAAATTCCAAGAATCAGAATTTGAACTAATTCATTATTAGAGGAAAACTGATGATGAGAACTCTTGGTGAATCACTATGTATGCCTACACACGCATATACCTAGCTAGTAGATATCGACATAATTATACTTATAACCATTGCATTGTATCCGTAGATACTGGTTACGATTATCGTTTTAATTTAGGAACAGGAATTTTTCTCGGTCATTTTCAGACACCCGTACATGCCACCCCGTTGGTTTTGGCGAGCACGCTGAACAGTATCGACCCATGTCTATATGCCTTCTACATGTATGTATATATATATAAACTATACACTACACATGTGTGTGTGTGTATGTGTGTGTTGGAACCAGACAACGTTTTGCCGCGTCCAGACCAATGGCACGACTATAATAGGATCTCGAGCATTATACGCTCGTCAAAATGACGCGAAAAACACTGAAATCCATCCGTCGTATTATTACACTTATATATTTGTCGAGAGATCAAAAACTTTGTTTTGTGACGCAAAGAAGCGAAATAGAAAATTGTAATTGTAATTGTAATTCACGTACCGTTCGTTTCGTTACACGAATTTTCAGCATAAAATATAATATTTATAAAACAATATGTTGTAACGACATCATAATATTATTTAATATCGTAATATAAACATATAACTATTATATTCTACAACCTAATTTATAGTATTATTATGCTTTGTTTTCTATTGTGTGAAAACAAAATTGTATACCTAGTAATATATCTATATCCACTATCTCTCGCCGAGTTAATCGGGTTAATTTTCAATCTATTTTCTTTTTTCTATATTTTTTAAATACATCCCATAGGGCTGAAATGAAAAATCAGTGGCACATTAATAATTATGGTTTTGTTTTTTTTTTTTCTTAAATTTCTCAACAAATACATTTAAAATAAAAAAATGTTCTTATTTATGTACCTATAATATATACTTATACATTATTTTTCATAATTTAATGTCACGCAAAATAAAAATCAATTAACTGTTGGCAACCTTAAAAAAATGTGCAACCCTGACATAGGAAATATATGATTATGATCGTAATAATAATGATAACGATGGTATTTTGATTTTAGACAAATTTTTACCTGATTTATTCCGGGAAATAATTTCCATCACTGGCTACCACACAATAATATCAGAAAATATTAGGTATATTATTATTACGGTACATTTGTTCAGTCTATTTTGTCTGTTTTCAGTACTTTTGTATTAAATTCTATAAAATCTTAATGTAATTATAATGTTCAATTATTGTACATAGTTTATATGCAAATATTTTATGTTATAATTTGTAAACGAGAAACCCTCTGTCCGGCCTAAATAAACGATACACAAGACATTTCACCACTTCCTAGTTGTTGGATGGCGAATGTAAATTAACGGGAATTAGTTTAATATTGTATGCTACTTAGATGAATTAAGAATTAGTTGTCCGCATCGTTATTATATTAGAGAAATAATTCCCATCTGTGTACACATCAAATTTACGTTTTTAATAAATATTATTTTTAATGACACTATATGTATTCCAATAATAATAATATAACCTTCTACCTTTAATAATTTTCTAGATAATCATAATATCATTTAAAAATCAAATGATAACAATAATGGTTAACGTTATTTAATTTTTTCCAACTTTTAAAATCATTAAAAACAGCAAATTTACCGATAGTTACAAATTTAAAAGTAAGAAATTATTAATCATCTTATTTTATTCGCCTTTTATCTTCATGACGTACTTTATAATGTGTAATGATATAATACATTGTATCTTTGACCGTTTTGTTACAAGTCGAATATTTTTAACTCTAATAAGACCATTAAAATGTAATATGCTATAATTATGCATTGTTTTTTTGGTTAAGGTTTTTAGTTGTTTTTTGTACTTACCAGTTATGATCGTATTGATATACCTACAATGTAGGTAATTACTGAGTACTGAGACAGCCGATGAGGATTTAACTTTTTATACCACGGTAAGAAGAGTAAGGAGGATTAATTGATGAAGTGAAATTTGAAATAAATTTATAAGATTATTAAAAAATATATTATAGTACACATAAACCAAAATATAATCTTATACAGATTGTTATTACTGTTCACGAATGCACGAATTGGCATGAATAAACTCCGTAAACTATTTAAAAATGTAAGTTATGATTTTCCGGAGCCAATTTTGTTTTGAAAAATAATATATGTTTGGTCCTGGGAACGTTAGAATATTATTAGTATTATTAGTTATAAGTCCCGGGAGAGGTATAAACAACATGCACATTATACGGCGTTAGCCTAACGCTAACCTAACATAATGTAAGGTATATGTAGGTATATGATTTTAAATAATACTGTAATGTATACAGCATACAGCGTAACATTTTTATATTATTATTTTCAAGGAATAAATATTATGTATAGACGTATAGTTACCTAAAAGAAATTCCAATAGTTTGTTAAGAACACTTCCAATAGGTAATTTTATTTTACAAAATATACCTTCACACAAAATATACAACACTGTCTTCCTCAAAATGTTTTTCAATTTTCGATCCATTTGAATTTTCATTTTTACTGAATTAAAAAATAACATCTGTAACAACAAATTAAATGAACATATTGACCCACTTTTTTATCAACAAATATCGACCATAGTTTTTTGGCGTTCAAGTTCTACCGTAATTATTATACGCTTAGATAGACTATCAAAATCCGAAACGTAATTCATAAAAATCATAGAAATCGTTAGACACCAAACATCGTAGGTTAAATCTAGATGGTACGTATTATGTTATTACTGATTTCCATATCAATTGCAACTGCGGTATTTGTTATGAACTTAAAATTAAGTAAATTATATAATATCATATTATATATTTGTAAGAATTTTACGCTAAGTGTTTCTCAATAAAATTTAATAACCCGATAAATTAATCGTAATATTAGACTTAACAGTTAACCGTTATATAATTGTGTATCAACGATAAAATAGAATGGACCATTGACTTAACCGCAAGCTAACGACCAACTGTAAACTTTGAACGAAACTTATTATTTTAAGATAACCTATGATAATAAATGCATTCAAATCGATGATTTCCGATTGGCGTATTCGACTAACGAAAGACCTAGAGAGCGCATCTATGAGCACTATATACCTACAACGTTGCGTATCCATTGTTGTGTTATTGTCTAAAGTATATTGCTGGCGTAATTACCTACTATATTTTCACAAACCACCACAGATCATTTTTGTCTGTCGATTAATACTTCGTAGCAACAAATTAATATAACTATAAATGTCTTAAAAGTCTGCAAATCAATCTTTCTCAAATTTCAGAAGGTATGAAGGGATTCAAAACAAAAAAATACTCTTCTCCCCGTGAACAATATATCATGTAATCTTGTATTTACTTATCATTATTATTAAACAATGAACGGAATTCCAATCAAAAACTTTAAAACCAGAATTTTTCAAGCTTCTCAATAATCAACCATTTTGTTTCATATAGAAACAAAAGGCGGTAGTTGGTCTCGTGGATTTATTTTAATAATTAATTCTCTGAAAAAAGCACAATGAATTAAAAAAAAATCTTAAGTTTGAAATCCCTCAAATTATCATACGTTATAGTACAATGGTTTTATCCACCAAATACATAGCGAAATAATCAATTGTATTAAAATGTATATCCATTAACGCATTAATATTTTTTTAATATTTAAAAATAAACGATTACAAATATTATTTTGTATTAACTCGTATTATTATATTATTAGATTGACTTGAGAAAACCCGTAATTTTATTATTTGAACATGAGGTGTATTGGGCAAGACAAGATTAAGTTAGGTTAACAGTTAACACAGATTTCATAACTAAAAATCAACCACGTAGATAGATATAAATTAACTATTTTTTCAAATATATATATTTAAAAATAAATGATTTAATCGAGTCATTCCTGCAAAAGTATGTAGATATAAAAGCTATTCATAATTTATGGTATAATTTTATTTCAAGTTGTCTATTAGTATATATATATATATATATAAATATAATATGTAGTCAATAGTCATAGTTATATTAGCATAATATATAATGAGTTGAAAGTACATACTCCGTTTGCTGAGAAAATGTGGTGCACAAAACCAAAAAATGTCAACGCGTCGTATTCTGCCACGGCAACCTACCTCCTCATTTCTCACTCGCAGTCGTATGCACAAAGAAATCACATCCTCTCGGTGAACGGAGATACGCACCTTTATAATATTATACCATTGAATGCTCTTTTTGGTAACCAAAAATTAAGTAATTAGCAACGGTTTTTTTTTTATTAAGACAATATTGTAATTTAGTTTAAAGTTTGTATATAAATGACTATTCACCATCATGGCATATTTTGTTGTCAACCACGCGCGTCTTAATATTGTGTTATCATCGCCAGTGTCATTGATCGAGCGCGCGCGTTTGATTCGCAGAGATGAGGGCCAGGATTTGCGGACCGCCGGAGCTGTACATCAAAGAGGACAGCGAGGTGAGCATGCGGTGTGAGCTGAGTCAGGGCCCACACGACCTGGGTACCATATTCTGGTACTTGGGCAACGTTCCCGTGTACACGGACCAGGCAAGCCTGCAGTCAATCCGGCAGCCACGGGTCAGCGTTCACACCGAATGGGTGGACGGACTCAAGAGCACGCTACATATAGCCCGGGCCAAGCTTGCAGACTCCGGGAACTACACGTGCATGCCCACGTTTGGACAATCAGCTACCATCAACGTGCACGTGGTCAACGGTAAATGCTGCATGTGTATTGCATGTCCGTCATGTCTTCTCCCTCCCTCTCCAAAAAAAAAAAAAAAAACGATATCCGTGCCAACTTTTGTTGTAAGCGAGTTATTTATTTAACAAACGAATTTATCACTTGATAGTGCAGAGGCTGGGGGACAAGGTAAAATGGGTAGTATTTGAATATACCAGGGCAAACGCCGAATTCAAATTTTGAAAACTGTCTTATAAATACATATAAATTATGTTCGAGTATCGCATATGAAATATTATGTTCACGGATATCGTTTGTGGTGGGAGGAAGAGGAAATGTACTTTGTATGTTTTAATACCTATAGCTATAAATCCTATATATGTACATTGTAATTAGTGCGTATATTATAGAATGTAAGGATGTTATATTTTTGCGTATCTGCATTAGATGTCAGGAACATTTGCAAATGTACGATACACTATTCCTCCAAAAGTGTACCGTAACTGTCCTCCATCGTACGAGGAAACGACCACTCTCATATAATATTTTAAAAAGTAATTATAGTTGTGTATATTATTTTGTCCAAGGACGTCATCTGGGAAAAATGTCGTTCCTGGGAATGTTCTTTTCTAATGAACAAACAATGTCAGAATATTTCTTTTTTAAATTAATTTAAGTAAAACGGGAATACACAGTAAATTTCAGAAGTATCGCAGCTTACCATACTTCTAGAGAATGCCGGCTCTGATTTTTTTTAATCCACGCACCGATGTGCGTATTCTAGTTATTTCTCCTCTCAATTTAGATGAGCAACTTCCCTCCCCTTCATCCAGGCCCAGTTGATATATAGAACACGTCACACGTCGAATCGATTAAACCCCATACGTTGATACATGTATAATTTATGAGCATCGACAAGGTTATATCAGTTTTGTTCGACGTTCAGTGAGTTAGCAGAGGAAAAAAGTACTAACCAAAATAATGTACAATCATTTAAGTACTATCAGCAGTAGGTACTACGAATATTGTTCATGAAACTGGAGTAAACGCATGCCGAGGTAGGAGGCAAGATGTATAATATGTATAATATTATACAATTATAATGATCTAATTATTGTAGTAAATTATGTAACTATTGTCACTAAATAAAATTTTCAATGAGAATAATACGTCATATTATTATATAAAATATAAAATATATGGTTTAAATAGAGATACTTTGATCTGTTCCTTGACAATTACTATTAGCCATTAGGTATATAGTCAGACTATTCCGCTATAACTCACTCAAAAAATGCAATATTAATATAAAAACTATTAAGATACCACCAATGACTTTTTTAATTTATATAATCGATAAAAATTAAATTGAATTAAACCACCTATCGTCAAAAGTGTGTTCGTATGAAAAAATACAATAAAACTGCTTTATTTAATCTTTATTGAAAACCGTTATTTTTAAAGTTCTCCGTATAGAGAACTATTTAAAGATAACTATTTATGAAACCAAAAAAATCTGACGTTTCTAATTTTTAATCGACACTTTTCAAAACAATACATTTTTGCTGGCCTCACCGAATTAAACAATAAAAATAGTTCATTGAAAATCAAACATCCATACATTTGACTATTTGAGGTACAAAAATATACATATGTACATTCTTTGGGGGCAATTTATTTGGGTTAATTTATGAAAAGAGATACATCAACGTTTTTTCGAGTAATAACTAATAAATGATATTATTAATAATAATTGTATATTTGTGTGTCTGAATATATTTAAAAGTGACATCTCGATTGTGCATTTTCTCGGTTTCCAAACTGATGCAGTTCAAGACCAAAATTATAAAACAAAACAACGTGAGGTTTATTATTTACCACTAATACAAATTTAAAGTGCGTAACAACTCAAGAGTCTATAAAAGGATTAAAATACTGTGTTGAAAGTTTAAAACTATTAATTATTTTAAAAATAAATTTTTTGAAAAGAGTTTATTTAAGTGCTTTTAAATTGTGCTTAAAATAATTGCTATTTCGAAAGTCTTTCAGCAGACTTTAAAGTCGTATTATTAACACATCACAACGAAATATGCACACGATTAGCACAAATGGTATATTTTCAACATAGTTATATACTACTTTTACTTTAAATGTCAATCTTCTACAATATCATACGCGTGACTATATCATACATCATCCACACAAGGTAAAATTCTCGAAGACTTGAACACCGATTTTGTTTTCAATTTTAGTACATACCATATTTATCTAAAGAGTGCTAAAGCTCGTTCTATAAAAGCACGTGCATATACATGCTTACACACAATATTATCACAAATGAGTACAAGCCTACTAATAACGAAATAAATTATGCGGAAAGTTAACAAACATAATAATAATAATAAACATCAAACGGGCATAATAAATTAAAACGTACAGGGAGTAAAAATAATGTTCGGAAAAAATGTGTTCAAAAATTTGGTTGGCTGACTGAAAATTCTGATTCGATTAAACCTTAGGCCAGCTTATGCTTGTGTATTATATTATTATATTTTTTATCCTTAATATATTCACATATTATATAGATAAGTATAAACGTATTATAAATAGTGTTCGCCCAGGCCCCGAAGCCACAGCGACTACGCATATGTACATTTGTAATTATATTCGAGTCATTGCGACATTCATTAAGGATTTAAATAAACCCCTTATGGTTGTTTTGGTAATTTATTATAGCTCCACCGAGAGAAGATCGAACTTCAAAAATAAACATACGGCATAATATAAGTACTCATAATGATGTACGACGAAAGTCGAACTTCACTAGTGTTTAAATTATATATATACACCGTACCACCTACAGCGAGTACACATTCTAGTTTTTGCTTGGCGGAGTTGTCAACCAAACACGGATTGTAGATAACAAGCAGGGTAATATGTAAATATTTAAACTCCAAATAAATAAGTAGGTATTAAACACCGAGTGTGTCGTATATGTGAACCAATGAAGAGATGCCGAAAATCAAGCTCATACGTTAATAACCAATATAATATACATGCACGTCTGTCGTGTTTGGTCATTCTGCAACATAAAGTCACACTAAAAGGACTGTTAGTTTTCTGTTACATTCAACTCATCCGTATATTAAATAATAAAATGGCATATTCTAAAAACTTTTTTACAAAACAACATAATAATTATTTTTTGTGGAATTACTACATTCATTTCAGAGAGCAGCGAATCTCTATTGATTTTACAATGATGCGTTTTTTTATTTTGCGCGACTAAAGACACTTAAAACAGAAAAAATAATTCTTCAATTTTCAACTTCAATATCTTTTCAACATTTGCACTATTTTTTCACAAGCGTTTAAAATTCATATTTTGACAAAATACGTCAAAATTGATAACAATTGTAATTGTATAGCTTTGAAAAGTTCCTTATCAGTACCTCTAACTAAAAACCAAAAATATAATAATATAAAACACATTTTTCCTTATAGACATTTGACGAAATTGGATATTTGAACACAGAATCGCGATTTCAGTTATTATAATCCAACATTATTCTTGGGGCTTTTAGATATAATATTTAGATTAATTTTAGTTGTTGTTCCAAAAACACGGCTTCTGAAAATTTCAAAATTTCTTACAACTTGTTGGTTATTTTTGAAAATGTTCTCAAAGACTGATAGATTTAAAAAATAACTTTGTGTACGCTGTAATAACATTTGGACCGGATTAAGCGATTACAAATATTTCATACAACAAGTTTTACCTTTATAAAAATAATATCATACAAAAAAATACAATTCTTTTTAAAACTAACTATTGTTCCAATTAAAATCTCATAAAAATATATCCTATCTTAAAAATATAAAACACTTTTGATCAAAAAATATAAATATGTCATGTCACTATTTCAATTGGGGGGGGGGGGAGATAAACCACAAGAGAAGCAAACAAATACCCGTTTATAGAATAGGGATATCTACAACCTTTCCCTACTGGGCCCACCATTGAGTTTAGTTCAGAAAAATCGTTTGTGATTTGTAACATTATATTAATTAAAACTACATTTATGAACCCAATTCTGTTTATTTGAAGTGGCATTTTCTAACTTCTTGTAAAACAATATTTGAGTAAAATTTGTTGAAAAGTAATTTAATATCTTTATTTTTAATATATATACAAATTTAAACAGTTCTCGTAAAAAATAAATAAATAACTGAATAAAAATCCAATTTAAAAAACTTTAAACGTCAAAATAATAAATGAGATGGCTTTAGTCGCTATATTTAATTTTATTTCGCTTAAAAAAATTATATCATTTAAAAGAATATATGAACAATTTATTTATTTTAATACGTTTGTACAAAATATACAATATAACAATAGTTTAAAATAGAATAATTTTAATAAATATATATTAGTCATAATATAATACATACAACCCTAACTTACTACATTTTTTAACATGTACTTGAATAATTGAACAATGTACCTAATAGTTCATTTTTCTGAAATATATTGAAATAAAACCAATAAGTACCTAAACCTAACCTAACCAACCTCAGCAATAACATATTTTTAATTTTTTAATTAATTCATTGATATTTCTTTAAACAATATAGTATTATAACATATCATTAAATAAATTGGTATTTTATATTAAACTTGTCCTAAACAAAATTTGTTGGGTACTATTTGATTATAATATTAAAATAGGTATAATATCATTATTAAAATGTAATAATACATTCGTTTATGTACAATAACGTAGTGAATAATCGTTCATTGATCAAAGATAAAAACTTTCACATTAATTTACAGCACTTGTGTACAACTCCGATTCGTTTTAATGTTGTTTTAAGAGCTTTATAAATCCAGAGTCATGTGTTATATACGGTTATATATAATACACAGGAGTGCATGTATAGTGTTCTCTGAGGTGTCATATAATCCGATTATCTTGGCAATTCTCAAAACTGCGGTGACGGAGAGAAAACTCACAAAAATGTAGTTTTAAGCA